ATGTCATATCAAAAATTACCTTGGGAGCTCTTTCAAACTATACACACTCTCATCTGACCCCTGAGAGATTTTCAGATACATAAAAATAAGGGCCAGGCTGGACAGAGAAGAGGAAGTAGTCGTGTTGCTTGCAAAGCTCTCACCAACCCCTGTGAGAACCACTACCCTGCAAACTTCTTCACTTTCTACACCCTTCATCTCAGCACTTCAGTAACGATGAGGACTACCCCAGTGGTCGCCCTCACAGGAGCCACTTCACGCAATCTAATTTGACAGGTTTCTCAGTTTCCCACTCTGGTCAGAGGGATCCTCTGTAATCCTAACAATTCCAGAAACTTCTTTATCCATTCAATCCATTTCCCAAGCCAGGTCCATACCCTCCAAATACCACTCCCTAAGCAAACAAATGCCACTCCCGGGTGGGAGGAGAAATTAGCCATCTTTTACTCCAAGCCATGCCAGTATTTCCAAGAGCCCCAAGGTCTAGAGCGGTGGTCCTCAAACGTCAGCAGGCATTAGAATCAACTGGAGGCTTGTTAAAATGCAGATTACTGGGCCTCTTCCCCAGAGATTGATTCAGCACGTTGGGGTTAGGGCCCCAAAATCTGTATTTCAAACAAGTTTCCAGCTGATGTGGATGCTGCAGGTCTGGGGACCACACTGGCATGGGGGAACCTGTGGGGCCACGGGATGAGTAGGAGAAAATCATCATGGGGCAGCGGAGGCAAACGTTACAACTGGGACAAGGAGCAGGGTGCTGCCTCAGCTCCGAGCAACACTGCCCTCCAGCCAGCGCTCAGACGTTCACTCTGTCAATGAGTGTCTGCGGAGCACCTGCCCCGTGTACTCAGGGAGGGGGCGAAAGGAACAGGGCTCCTAACTTCCTGCAATGGACACTCCAGCAGGAGAAAATGTGCATGTGTGAATCACACAAACACAGCTGTGCTCCCTGCTGCGACAGAAAACACAATGAGAGACAAGGGGGTGTCATAACAGAGGAGGTGACATTTAAGTTAAGGCCTGAAAAATGAGGACTCAGACATGTGAAAAGCCGGCCAAAGATCTTTATTATCTGGCCCTTTTTAGAAAATATCTGCCCACCTCTCGTATAAAAGGAATGCTACAAATAGATGGTCATTATGGGGGGAGGGGGACTGTCACTTTGTGAGGGGTGAAAAGGATAACTATTGCATTGTTTTGTATACCTGAAACTAATAATAATAATAATAATAATAATAATAATAATAATAATAATGAAAGGTAAAATAAGGTAAAACAAACAAAAAAAAAACTCATATATGCTGCTTACAAGAAACTCACTTCAGATCGAAAGACACACACAGAGTGAAAGTAAAGGTTTGGAAAAAGATATTTCATGGAAATAGAAACAAACAAAAAAAGCTGGAGTAGCAATACTTATACCAGACAAAACAGACTTTAAAACTAACACTATAACAAGAGACAAAGAAGGACCCAGTAATCCCACTTCTCAGTATTTATTCAAAGAAACCCAAAACGCTACTTCAAGGGGACAAGTGCATCCATATGTTCATTGCAGCATTGTTTACAATGGCCAAGATGTGGAGGCAGCCTGGGTGTCCATTCATGGAAGAATGGATAAAGAGGAGGTGGTACATATATATATATACACTGTAATATTGCTCGGCCATGGAAGGGAATGGGTTCTGGCCATCTGCGGCGGCATGGATGGACCTGGAGGGTGTTGTGCTGAATGGAGTATGTCTGACAGAGAAAGACAGATGCAATGTGATTTCGCCTACATGTGGAACCTAAAGAACAAAATGAACAAATAAACAAAACAGAAACAAAATCATATATACAGAGAACATTTTGATGGTTGCCAGATTGGAAGGGGTTTGGGGGGTGAAAACGAGTAATGGATTAACAAATATAAATTGGTAGTTTCAAAATAGTCATGGGGATGTAAAGAAAAGCACAGGGAATATAGTCAATAATATGGTAATAACTATGTATAGTGCCAGGTGGGTACTAGGCTAGTCACGGGGATCACTTCATAAGTTATACAAATGTCTAACCACTATGCTGTACTCCCGAAACTAATATAATACTGAATGTTAACTGTAATTGAAAAATTAAAAAGCGGGGGAAGGTGAAGGGGAATAAGAGGTTCAAATTTCCAGGTATAGAATAAGTCATGGGGATGTAATGTACAGCTTAGGGAATATAGTCAATAATATCGCAATGGCACAGCAGTGTCAGATGGACTTATGGTGATTACTGCTTCAGGTATATAAATGTTGAATAACTATGGTGTACACCTGAAATTAATATACTATTGTATGTTTGCTATATTTTAATAAAAATCTTTTAAAAATAAAGTAACTATATAGATCCTAAAAAGATTTCTATTATGCCTAGTTTAGAAGCTCCTATATAAAAACAACTATAAATAGTTCACATCTAGAAAAAAGAAAAATAGATGGTCACTATATAGCACACATTATGGAGGTGTCTGGTGTAGGTAGGAGTCCTCAGTGGTGCTGAGGAGGTTTCATGAGGAACCACCAGAGGGACCCGGATGGACCTCTACCCTACAAAATAAAAGCCCTGGATTCTTTAAAACTGTAAATGACATGAAGTGCACAGAAACGCTGAGGAACTGTTTTCCATTACAGGGGACTAAAGAGACATGAAAACAATATATAACACATGATACTGATAGGCTCCTGGAGCAGAAAAAAAGGGACATATTGGGGACAACTGGCAAAACGTCAGTGAAAAATTAATTATTTAGATGAATGCTAAGAACAAAATATAAGTCCCAGATGAAAGAGTGAAGCTTCATGTGTCAGATGAAGAAATGGCTAGAAAGAACAAGACTTTGGTGAGGAAGACCAAAAACCTTGACCAAGAAAAGAAACCATGCTGATATAAAGATGAAAATGATTAACAGTAATCCAATTAAAGCAGGACAGATTTTTTTTTTAAAAGGCCCAAGATTAAAATGGATGCCTAAGATATGATTCCAAGATGTCTCAAGAAAGTTCACTGGTGTACTTTGTAACTCCTTCTGACAGGTTCTCCATGATTACTCATACCATACTGAGGGTTTTTGTATTTTGAAATCATCTGGCTCCTGAAGGGGCGGGGGGGNTGTGTGTGTGTGTTGCTGTGTGTGTGTGTGTGTGTGTGTTTGATGGATGCTATATATGATCTGCTTAATGATATTCCATGAGCAGGATTGTTAGCCCTTGAATCTTCAAAATCGCAAAGGTAAATTTAAGAAGAGAAAAATATCCATAGGATTTAGCAACATACAAGTCACTAGAGATCTTCACAGGATCAGCTTCAGTGACATTTTTAGGACAGATACCAGATTGGGTTGAGGAGGAAACGGGCCAGCAAGGAGCAGTAACTTGTGGCGATAACTCTGTAGGAAGAAGTACGGCTGTGAAGGGGAACGTGCAGCCTAGAGGACTTCTGACATGTATGTGTGTGTGATTTTTTTTTTTAATGGGGCAAAGAATACTGAATGCTGATTAGATGGCTCTAGCAGACAAGGACAGGTTAAAGATTTAGGAAAGAGCAAAAAAAAACATTTGAGGGAGGTTCCCAAGAAGGGAACAGGAAAATCTGGAGAAACACAAGAAGTGTGTCTCTGACAGGAGAAAGGATAGTTTATCAATTGCAGCAGGAGAGAATGAACTCAGAGAGGACAGGTATGGGTATCAGTATGTCTACAGATATGGCAGACACCGTTGGGACAACTCCCATTGGATGGCTTCATTTTCTCTGCAATGTATGGGGCAAAGTCATTTACTGAGGATGCAGAAAGAAAATGTGGGATTGGAGATTCAAGGAAAGAAGTAAGTTATGAAACTGCCACAGTGAGGAGTTGCAAGAATGAGCAGACAAGAAAAATACAGTGAGTGGGCCGGCCAAGTGGCACATTGGTTAGGAGCTGGCTTGGGACGCCAGCTCTAAGTAGCAGGGCCCCAGTTCGGATCCCACATGAGGGCCAGTGACACTGCCCTCTACAGCTAAGATGGTGAACAACAGCTTAACCTGGAGCTGGGCTGCCGTGAGTCGCTGGTGACAGCGTAGGCTGCAGTGGATCTGCAGTGGGCTACCATTAGCTACCGTGAGTGGCTGGCAGCCGGCATGAACCACCAAGAGCCACCGTGAGCGACCATCCAGTGGCCGGTGACCGATCTACCTCAGCTTGGAAAAGCGCAATGATAATACCAACATGGGCCAGTGAAGCGGCGTCCTCCACAACTAGACTGAAGAACCAAAGGACAGCAACTTGTCTGTTCACCTTCCCCAATTCCCCAATGCTGTTCCCCTCCCCCAATTTCCCAATAAAATCTTTTTAAAAAGAAAGAAAAGAAAAATACAGTGAGGTTTCCATACAATGTCGAGAGTCCAGATGAGACTGGTGATCAAATAGAGTATTTAAACAAATCATATGAGAAAGGATTGTATGTGTTCAACAGACTATTAAATTGATACAACCATGTTAACACATCTTCATAATCATCCTTCACACCAAGTCATTACAGCCATGTGAACAAAGTAGTAGACAACCAAATTACAAAGCCTGCAAAACCAGAGAGCTGAACATTAAAATGAATGCCTCTGAATCACACGATAACCCATTTAATATAAAATCTGAAAGAGAGCGCTAACAGGAAAAGTCAGGGAACACTAAGAATACACCAAATCTGGTATCCTATCCACTGTCAGCTTTTCACAGTCACCCTCATACAGTTTTTGAAACCACGATATCATGGTCCTCCAAGGTCCTACTGGAATTTCCTGACAGTCCCAAGGTTATCCAGCCCCAGTATTGGAAACTCTGCTTTAGGAGAAAATCAAATTATGGTCCTCACCAACTATGACTCTGAGATTTCTGTTTCCTACCTACCCCATTAAATCTACTCTAATTCTGGCATAGTTTTTGCAAACTTGGTGTTTAAATATATGCAAACATATCCCCAAAATGTGCTCCATCTTACCGATATCGCTGTGATCCTGAGAGAATCAGCAGTGGAGTGTTTGAACAGGTACCATAAAACAGGTCCAATTTCTCCTGTAATAAAGCCCTGGGCCTGAGCAGAAAAGGTAGTGCAGACATTTTCAATAATCTTTGCTGCCATGTGATTCACAACACGTTCCTCCTAGAGAATGAGAGAGCAGAGAACATGGAGAAGATTAAAAGGGTATTATTTAGTATAAGAAACACATACATGTCATTTTTTTCATTAACTATTGCAAGTAAGGGCCTGATACCAGGCGAGTATTATCTGCCTCTGGATGTGTTAGGTAGATTAGGAGATGTAGTTATTCTTTCAGGCTATTAAGAAATTGTTACCAATAATCATTTAGTGAATCATTAAACCTAGCCTAGTATAATCATATTTTAATAAATGTGATGAAATAACCTGGAAAATGCACAATATAAGCATAACATAAAAATTGGGGGTAAGTTTAAAGTCATAAGGAGCAAGCAAAACGACCCTGAGAAATCAGTCAGGGCTTGGAACAACAGTGTTTCGATTGGCCAAAGACCACCTAAATATGGGATCCAGGAAAATACTAAGAAAGGCACTGCTTCAGTGATGTGACCAAATTAACCCTAACTGCTATTCTGGATTGTCCTGGCGAATGCTTAAAATCCAGCCTCTAAAAGGATCAAACTGTTTACAAGTAACTGAAGTGGTTCCAAGAAAAAGGACAAAAATACTTAAAAGAATACAAGAACTCCAGCATTCAACATATAAAAATCACAATGTCTGAAATCCAATTAAACATGACCACGAATGCAAAGCAGGAAAATATGACTCATGAGTATAAAAATAAATGCAATCAATAAAAATGACACAGATGACAGAATCAGGAGTATAATATGTTAAAATGGCTATTATAAACATAATCAGTATACTCAAGAAGGAAGAGGAAAACATAAGCATGGGGAGAGAAACAGAAGATATAAAAATGACCAAAATCAAAAGGCTGGAGATAAACAATACAATTTCCTATATGAAAAATACACTAGACTGGCTTAACAAATTAGACTCTGTGGACTAAATGATTAGCGAACTTGAAGACGTAGCAATAATCCATAAAAACTACCCAACATAAACACAGAATGAAATAAGACTGAAAAAACACAGAGCATCAATGAGCCAGGGGACAACTTCAAATGACTGAATGTGCATACATGCAATGAGAACCCCGAAAGAACGTGTGTGATAGGTGGAGGGACAGGGCGGTAGAAGAAAAACTTGTTTGAAGAAAATATTGCCTGAAAATTTTTCAAATTCATGAAAACTCTATCTAAGAAACTCAATGAAACCAAGCAGAAGAAACAAAGAAAAGTCACACCAAGGCGTATCATATATCATAATCAAACTGCTACACACCAATAATAAACAGAAACCTTAAAAGCAGCTCGAGTAAAAAGACCCATTATGTAGAGAAGAACAAAGATAAGGACGGGAGACTTCTCATCAGAAACCAACGCAAACCAGAAGACAGTGGGGCAGTATCTTTAAAGTACCAAAAGGAAAAAAGAAGAATGGTAACTATCAACCTACAAATCCATACCCCAAAATCACACCTTTCAAAACCAAAGGTAAAGGTGGGGGAAATATGAAGAGGTTGGGAAATGTCACAAGCTTTCAGCTGAAAGATGAATAAGGTCTGAGGATCTAATGTAAAACATGATAACTAGAGTTGATAAGACTGAATATTTGAAATTTGCTAAAAGAATTTAAATGTTCTCACCAATAAAAAGGTAAACATGTGGAGTGATTGATGTATTAATTAACTCAATGGGAAAATCTTTTCAAAATAGATATGCAAATCAAATCATCACTTTGTACCCTTTAAATATCTTACAATTTTACATATTGACTATACTACAATAATGCTAAAAAAACAAAACAAATGTAGAAGTAAAATGTACAATAGAAAGGCTAGAAGGGGAGTACTAGATATATTATAGTGTAAGATTCTTATATATAATTCTTATATAGTATATATGAACAAGCATATCATTATATACAGCAAATTCTGGTGTAAGGTTGTTATAAAGGTTCCTATATATTATATATGAATTAATTTGTCATTACTTGAAGGTCAACTGTGGTTAAGTTAGAGATATATACAGCAAAAAAATGTATAATTCAATAAAGGAGATAAAGTGGAATCATTAAAAAGTCAATTAATCCAAAAGAAGGCAAAAAGAGAGAAAAAGGAAACAAACAAAAAACACAGACAAATAGAATACAAGTTCCAACACTGCACATTTAAACTCAACCATTTCAGGAGGCTGGGCGAGTGGCTCAGTTGGTTAAGAGCTCGCTGAAGAGTTTGAGCTCTGAGCAACAGTGGTTCGAGTCCTGGTCCAAGCTGAGCAGCCGCTGAGCTGCCAACAGGTAGCAGGATGGCTCAGTTAAAAAAAACAAAACAAACAAAAAAAAACCTAAACTCAACCATTTCAACAAGCACAGTAAATATAAAGGTCTATACACACTAATTGAAAGGCAGAAATTCGTAATTTAGATTTTTTTTTTAAAGCAAGACCCAAATGTAGGCTGTATTCAAGAAACCCCCCGATATATAAATTCACTGATAGGCTAAAAGTAAGCGTAAGAACGAATCAAGACATGTGTACCATGCTAACATGTATAAAGAAAGTGGGAGTAGCTCTGTGACTTCAGAAAAGCAGATCTCAAAGCAAAGACTATCCAGGAATAATGGTCATTTCACAATGATAGGAGTCATTCAACCCGAAGATATAAATATCCTAAATATTTATGCCCCTAATAACAGACCTTCAAAATACCAGAAGCAAAAATTGATAAAATTGAGAGAATAAACAGATAAATTCAAAGTTTTAGTTGGGGAATTCAATATACTTTCTCAATAACTGACAGAACAAGTAGCCAGAAAGTCAGTTAGGATAACACTATCAACTGACTTTGGCATTTAACTCTACTCAGCAAAAGTAGAAAACACATTCTTTTCAAGATCACATGAAGCATTACCATGACAGACTATATTCTGGACCATAAAACACATCTGAGTAAACTCTATATTCACAAGTTAATTTGAGATGAATCACAGACAGAGCTATAAACACTAGAACCAAAAATCTTCCAGAAGAGATCATAAAGAATATCTTGGTTATGTCTCATACTGTCTCAGACTGGGAGAAAATATTTGCAATACACACTAAATACCTGAGCATTTTATATGTTACATATCAATTAAAATATTTAAAAATATGTTAAAGAATTATGTGGATAGGGCCGGCCAAGTGGCACATTGGTTAAGAGCTGGCTTGGGACGCCAGAGGGCCCTGGTTCGGACCCCACATATGAGGGCCAGTGACACTGTCCTCTACAGCTAAGATGCTGAACAACAGCTCAACTTGGAGCTGGGCTGCTGTGAGTCGCAGGTAACGGTGTAGGCTGCAACCCCAGCTGCAGTGGGTTGCCATGGGCTACCGTTGAGTGGCCAGCAGCCGCAGTGAGCAGCCATCCAAAAGCCCATGACTGATCTGCCTCGCGCAGGAAGAGCACAATGATGGTGCCAACTTGG